CCCTTAAATTCTCTAGCCCAGCTTCCTGTGCATTGCAGACTACTAAGCTTTCCCTAGGTACAGCTGTACTGAATCCAATAGGCTGAGTTAAACTAAAGCATTTAGTCATTTGAGGAGTTCAAACCGTTGTCTAGCGCAGACAGAGAACAGGTGTAACTGAAGTGTTAATACTGTCCAGGATCTCTGCAGAAAGCCTTACAGGGAATTCATTAGGTGACACCTGCGCAGATGATCCTGGCAGGTTATCTAGGATGCTGAAGGAGACACCAATCTGTACTTGGGGGATAATTCCTCCCTGACCCTAAATCTCAGTCACATTGACCGTGAACAAGGTGCCCCAGCCAAGCATCTAGGAAAGAGGATTCTCTTTACTAACTTGGAGCACCAGTTCTGCTTCCATTTCCCCCACGTTTGGATGTTTTGTAATTAAAATAAAGATAAAGTGTGCACTTGGTAAAGGGTCGTTTTGTCTGTTCCTTGTGTGAAAAAGCATAGCCGAACTTTGAGTTGGAGTTCACAGATATATGCACCTTTCATCTAGTGCTGCCTGTTTGTCTTCAGATACTTACTGATTAGTAAGACAAGGACAAGGTTTTTTGGTAAATGTAGCATCTTTTATTAGACCAATTAAATAGTTGGAGATATTGTCCTTCGCAAACTTTTGGGCACAAACACCCTTCTTTAGGCATGGGCAGAGTCTGCTGGTGCAAAGGATGATTTTTTTTCAACTGTTTAGTTGGCTTAATAAAAGATGCCGCATTTACCCAAAGAACCTTGTCTGCCTATGTCCTTGGGCCAACACAGCTACAACGAACATCCCCAAAACATACTGATTAGTAATGAGTAGGCCTATTTTCCCTGGTGAAACTATTGAAACTATTGTTTTGGCAGAGCTAACCTGTTATTGAAAACTCAAGGTGGACCAATACATTGGTCCCATATCGGATCGACACCAATATAAGGAAAATCAACTGAATCGGCTTTTTTTTGGATGATGTGGCTGATAATGCCCTGATAAATGCCTGTGCATGTGCACAGCTGCAGTGCAGCATGGAAGCGGCCAGAAGCGCAGCGTGGAGAGCAACCAGGTCTGGCTGGTAAGGGAAGCGGGGGTGTACAGCTCGAGGCCCCTGCGGTGAGGGAGGAGTGGGGCAGAGGCAGGCGCTGCCCAGCCAGGACAGAATGGAGCCAGGAGCGGCTTGTTCATGGTGGGAGGGGGAGGGTGCTTCCCGCAGCTAGGTGCACCCTGGGAGGTCGTGGGGGCGTGTGCCCCTGGATCTGTGTGGGGCGAAGGCAGGCTGCCTCTGCGGGCTCTGCTGCGCTCCGCCCCGCCCCGGCTGTGCAGCGCTTGCCTCTGCCCCAGCCCCACTTCCTCCCTCCCTCCCTCACTGTCGGGGCCTTGATCTGCCCCCCCTCCCCCGTTCTTTTCCACCCCCCTTTCCCCATAACAGACTTACCAGCTGAACCCAGCTGCTTTCCACACTGCCCAGCTACATATCGGAATTGGATTGGTATCAGCTGATATGGCTTGTTAAAAATCGGCCATTGGTATTGGCTCAAAAATTCTGTGTTGGTGCACCCCTATTAAAAAACATTCCCTTTTCTTCTCTAATTTAGAAAACAACCTACTGATTTTAAATAGATACTTAACTTCCTCAAGTTGCAGGTGGGTCCAGTGACTCTGCTGCTTCTCATAGCTTTGCCAAACAGGAGCAGAATAAAATTAACAGCTTGTTGGTTTTGCTATTAAGAGTCAAGTCAAAATCAAGTTACTTAGGTAAGCTGAATGAGGAAGAAGACTTTCATCATCTGAACAGCTCAGAATTTTTGTAGAAGGTGGGAAGGGAGGGGTGGGAGCCATGGGAGAAGGAAGAACAGGAAATACTGTTCCTCTTCTTGAAACAGGAGGAATCTGGGACCTAATGTGTCTGGCATTCTAGCCAGACATTGATATGAAAGATGGATTTCCTAACTATAGTACAAAACCTCTCATTTCCAAGCTGCTTGCAGGGTCAGCTTGATGCCCTAATAAGGGTACTGCCCTCATACCTGGGGAGCCTCTGCCATGTACCTCCTATTTTTTATATTTACTTTTGCCTTTAGTCTTTCAGTATATATCTGATAAACTGTCATTTTGGCTCTCTGAAATGTTCATCATGTCTGTTATGTCTTTGGCTGTTTTAATTGTATTATGATTGTACCCTAACTCCATTATGCCAGGCTCTATTTACTCTGGTCAATAAATGGAATGGTTTATTCCAGAAGTGTCCACATGGGAAATTATTTTAGAATAGTCTTTCTAGAACGGTTCTAGAAATCAGTTTCTTCATCTAGGCAAGGCATAGCTTTAACTAAAGGACATTTCAAATATCTGGGATCCTTTAAAAAAAAAGTTTAACGTGATGCATGAATTAGCTTGTGGCATTAGCATGTATTTGTATGTTAGTGTGATTAAAAATGGGTTAGCTTTTGTTCTTGATGTCTGGCAATGATGAAGATTAATATGACACATGATTTAAGGTCAGAACAACAGTTGTGCGAGCAAGCGGTTCATGCCTGTCTATATTACTACATGAACCAAGCTGGTGGCGTCGCTGTGCTCTGATGTTTAATGTACCAAGACAAATCCAAGTAAAACAGGACTGAGAGCCCTTTAAAATCTCTTATAAGTAGATTTGTCATTTAATTCCTTAAATGTAAATGTTTAAAGCATTAACATCTTACAATGTTTCCTCTATTTTAGATTAACTGCTGAAGTACTGATCGAGTTCTGCTCTTCTTCAATGAGGAACTACAGGCTGATCTTCTGCCATAATCTTAAACAACCATAAATGACAAAAAAATGCTTGGTCAGTGAGGGCAGCTGGCGCAGAAAACCTTTTTTAAACGTGGGTGTTTAAGTCCTCTGAGGTATGTCCCTTAAATGACTCGATTGGTTTTGTTTTTTGAAAAATGATGTGGCTCGATTCCAGTCTGCCTGATCTTGCAGGCAATAACTTGACAGTTAGGCAGAGACTGGAGGATTAAAGAGAGGATTAATTTTATCACTTGCAAGTCATATTTTGATTAATTGTTTAAAAAAAAATGATTCCTACAGTATTTAAAACATGCACATAAATGGGCATGCTACTCTCTATAGGGGCACTGTTTTCCTTTCACTAGTATTTGCTCAAAAGAGGGCAGCTTCTTCTGTTATATCATAATTTTGCTTTAGCATTGTCAGCCTAATAATACGTACCTATTTTGAATCTTTCCCCAGTAATCTTTAGTATATTTTTGAGATGCCAGTATTGATCTGTGATTTTACTAATAAACTGAATCAGCAACTGCTTGCTGATGAGGTATTTCTCTTTTCCATAGTATGAAGTATATTGCCTTGCAAATATTCTCAAACAGCTGTGCTATAAATTAAGGAAAGATCTACAGGCAGTTCCTGGATTGCTAGCATAAGGTCATTAGTCAGTCTTGGAGACTCAGGTCATTATTATGGGAAAGAACATTTCAGTACAAAGAGTTTGAAGTTGATGGGCATTCTATGGTTACTTAGACACTGGCTTGAAAACTGAAAAGTCTTTTTCAAAACCACAGTTTTGGTTGCAGAGTCCCAGAGCTGCTCAAAATTCTGGTGGCCTTGGAGTTGTACAACACCAGACAGTTTTTCATGCAGCTTCATCTTGAATAGATAAGTTGTCAGAACAAAACTATGCTTGGCAGCTTGGTACTTAGATTTGCACTCTAATCACAGAAAATCCTCCTGAGCTGGGTTTTTTAAGTCCTACTAATATCAGAAATCAAGTAGAAAAAATGTTACTCCAACACGTCAGTTGAAGCAGTAATTAACCTTTTCCTGAATACTCCTTTGCCACTACACAGCATCTAATGAAGTGTACCTACTGCTTACAAAAGCTTATGCTGTGCAGTTCTGATTTAGTTAATATATAAGCTGCAAATCTACTTTGCTTCTGCTACTTTGACATTGTATGTGGAATAATAATTTCCACTGTTCACATAGTTTTGATGAATTTAGATCAATAATTCCACGGAAAAACGGTGCTCTCATGACCTGTCAGAGGTTGGAAAATATTTAAATGCTAATGAACATGCGTATGTGGAAAGCAGGGTATCTCATTTTCTGAGTTGTGTGCACTTTAACCGTTGTCTTAGTTTTAATTCTGTTCATTTGACAGAAGAGACAGCTTTGATTTTTGGCTGCAAAAAGATATGAGGAAGAGTTCCTCCCCTTCCTTGAGTAACTGCAACTCTGTTCTTGCTAACAAAATATTTGGAATTCCACTTGATGAGCTGCAGCAGGAAGGGCAACCAGACAATGAGGTTCCGTTCATAGTCCGCCACGTGGTGGACTATATTGAGGAACATGGTATGTATTTCTGTGTTGTGTTGTAAGTGAGATGTTTTGTCCCAATTGGTTTCAAGCAGTATAACAAAATCCTATTTCTATTATTTCTTTGAGCAACTATTGGGATTTCATGGGCCAAAAATCTTATCTTTCTGCTGATCCAATCATAGCACTTGCCAGTGTAGGGTGATGCCTATGAAATCTTGTGCGTCAGAACCAGTTAGTCTTAAGGTGCCACCTACCCCATCTTCTGCCTTGTATGTGTTGCACTTCTGTTCTTCACTTGATTGAATTCATAGGATTTAGAGAGGATAGCCAGCCAGCCACAGTACTTTGGGGGAAATTGTGTATTTTGAGGCTGAAGAATGTTTACTTGGCTATTGGGTTTATAAATTGGATGCTTTGATTGGAGGGGGGGGGCAAATTTCAGAGATGTGAATTTCTTGCTTTGTAGTTGCCTGGTAAAAGTGCTGAGTCTCCAGCTATCTGCAATATTTCATTAAAAAAATGGATAAATGACATTTCAGATAAGATTTTATTTTTGAAACTTGCTATTAACTTAGGAGGTCTGGAACAAGAAGGACTTTTTCAAGTCAATGGGAATGCTGAAACAGTGGAGTGGCTTCGGCAAAGATACGATAATGGAGAAGATGTGGACCTGGTTAAAGAAGCAGATGTACCCTCAGCTATTAGCCTTCTTAGATTTTTTCTTCAAGAACTTCCAGAACCGGTTATCCCAGGCAGCTTGCATATACACTTGATGCAACTTTCTCAAGGTAATGGGAACTATTTTGCATGGGGGTTAAGTGACAACAACTGGTTTTAAGACCCCACTAATTAAAGAAGTTTAAGTGACTCAGGATTTCTTTGGTGTTCCATGTAACCATGTGGTCATCATGAGACATTTGTTTTGAATGTAGTTTGCCCTTCCTTGTACAAGATTCAAAATAGCTAGGCTCTGTTCAGGATATTTCCACATTAACCTTATTTCATGCTCTCTGATTCTGTAAATGGATTTTGGGGCAGTGGACAGAGCCACTGGATCCAACCTTGAGTATTCTAATTTCCTACTCAGTGATGATGAACTGAGAATTGTTATGGACATCCCTTTTTTCTCTGCACTGTCCTTCCCACCAGTTGCACATGGTCCATCTGTTCGTGGCTCAGGAATATTGCAGGGTTTCAGTGGCAACAGAAAAGAGGACCTAAAGCAGACCCTCTTCAAGTGTGACTTTTGTTATGCCTTTCTAGCATATTTTTCAGTTATACCTCATTCCCATAGGAAGTTGTGGTCAGCCTGTTGCTGCTGTTTTTTTGGGTTTTTTTTTATTCCTGTCTACTGTAGAACCCCTTCTGTTCAGACTTCCACCCTATGTTGACATGCCAGTTAATTCACAAATTTTGTCTATATGTATCCACTCTCCTGGGTCTTTTGGCCTCTGCTGTGTTGTGTAGTGTTGGAGTTAATTCATAACTTGACTAGTAAAAACTTTTGTCTTGCAGCACTACCGTTAGTAACGCATTGTGCGTTCCTCAAAGGGTATGTAGACATCAATGTACCACACCTTGTAACATAACTGGTAATTTCTTTAGTTCTCAGTGGCATCAACTGGAGCATGAAATTTGTTTCTCACTGTGTCCCTTAGTCATTCTTTTATAGTATTTGCGGTTTTTTGCTTCTGTCCAGTTAAGTTTGCTGTGACAAGAATATTTTTCAGAGTTAGTGGTTATGGCTGTGAAGGCTGTAGTCAGTTTTTATCATGACCAAAGTGGGTTAGTGCAAGCTTTCCCATGTTGCTCTACTGTAAAACCTCAACAGCTGACTTGGAGGGGCCTGTCTTTTGAGGGAGGTCTAGAAAGGTGGTTCAATTTCCTTGTCTCCACCCTGCACTTTCAGTGAAACTTTAAACATGGAGAGGCTGTTGAATAGCAGCTGAGGACCAGCTGATTTTATGCACAATGCTAATTTGCCTTGGGTGGTAACTAGTGACTTAGGATAACTTTGGTTGTCTAAAAGATGAGACTTTGTGTACAAATATTTGAAAAAACATCCCAAATTTAGAAATAGACCAGTACATTAATAGACATTTTATTTGATATGTAATATGGCCACTGCTTTGACTCATTGTTTCTGAGTTCAAGAGATCTAGCTAGCTAACTGTGAATCAAATATTCTGGAAGAATTGGAGATCAAGTTCTTATTTTTTTTTGCTTGCAAAAAATGCTTCATAACATTTAGGTGCTTAAAGGGAAAGAATCATGAGGATAAGGAGAGCCTTAGTTTCTCACAGTTATGCCCCCAAGTTTGTAAATGTACTTGATTATGCTGTCATAACGATGAATTTATCATGCAACATGCAAAACTGCAGTGCGGATCTCTGCTTTTTCCTTTTGGAACAGATGATTGTGGAAAGATTTGTTACCCAAGTTGTGTTGGAAAACGGTTGATTTTTCAAAAGGCATAATTACCATCCCTATATGTCTTATCCTTCTCTGTTTCCCATGTCCTTCATAATTTGCGTGTGTGTGTGTGTGTGTTGGCACAGGATTTTTGTACTTGATTTATTGTATTCTTATATACACTCGTAAGAACATGTAACTTCTATTTTTAAAAAGAGAAGTCGAGCAGTTTCACAAAGCTTTTAATGTGCATATTACGTTTTCCTTACTAAAACATAGCATTTAACTAGGGTGATTTCCTCCTCTTTGGGTCTATGGCTTGTGACAATTTTTTTATGCTTAATTTAATGGAGCCATGTTATCTTGGTTTCCAGGAATGCAGATCAGTTCCAGTTTAGGAGAAGGATATTATTGGCAAGTGCTAGTGTTTTTAGATGCACATTTTTTCTGTAGCATTGTTCCTCTTCCGCTGGTTCTCTGTGCAGCTTAGGCTTTAGTTTACACAGCTATATTTTAGTTGCACAGCTTGCAGTTATATGACAAGGTGTGGCATATATACCCTTCAAGGCTCGTTCTGTGCAGGCCTAATGGTGGTTCCTCGAAGGCAAGTGATTTTACTAATTGAAGTGTGAATTTGACCCTGGTGCCATAGGCCTTGTGTCCCAGAAGTGTGTATCCATGGACTACATTCAAAGGACTTCATTTACAGATAAGTACTTTCTTACTTTAGGTCTCTGTTTTTAGAATCTAGACTTAAGACAAACTGGTAAAGACAGGCAGAAGTGTTGTTTTGTCTGTCTGTCTCTTTTTAAGGGCAAAGATTGATTTTTTGGGGGGGAGGAAGCGTTTGAATTTTTTTGGCTTGTTCTCCCCCCCCACTTATCTAGTGTGATGCTGATTGTATAGTAAAAGATTGTATTAGCACTTTATTGAGCTTTCTGTGTATTAATGCAACAGTGAGATGACTTGTTCCTCTATATCCTGTTGCATATGGATTCAAATGTTGTAGCTATGCAAACTTTGAACCAAACAGAAAAACCTTTCAGGGCTGCTGGTTGGCATTACTGTACCTGTGTCTTCACACAGTAGTGCTTTCTGCCTCTACTTATTTGACTTTCGGGGCCAACGTTCCCCCCTCTCTTTTGCCTTGTTACATGGTATTTATCAATTTCTAGATATTCTCTTTTTCCCTAGCTAGGATAGCAAAACCTTCAAGAGGTCATGGCAAGGAAGGTAGTGTCTTTCTCTGTCAGAGAGGCAAGGGAGACCTGATTGAAGTTATCTCCCTTTTTATTCCTGTTCTTTTTGACATTTCCTGTCTGTAAATGGGGCTTCCTTGAGAAGCATGAATGTGGAATCCCTTCCAACCTGTATGTCTGGAATACTGATAATTTAATAAGTTGCTAGAGTTCATTGTGGCTTTTGAAAGTTATATTCTCTTATATCTGATTCAAATCCTCCACAAATATTTTCAAGTATGAGGAGCACAACTGAAGAAAGGCTAGCTCTTGTGCTATGGAGGTGTGCAGCTGTTTTTAGGGATTTGTGGAGAAATACTTGAGAAGCTGGTAGTTGGACTTGATAGGTAGAGTGCCTTACTCAGCAGAAGAGAAACTGTTGGTATAGATTATACATACTTTGCAGAAATCCATTTTGCAGCAAGGCAAAGTCAGCTGACAGCACCACACAACTGTATGGCTGGTTTAGCCTTTGGCATCATTGGTGAAGAACAGTTGTACAGGAAAATATGAAAGTCATCCTGTTTCAGCAAGTGCAGAAAGGGGAGAATGGATCTGGAAACTGAAACAGGGCAGATGGGCGTAGCAACCAATGGGAAGATGTCAGTTGCTAATAAGGATCATAGTTTTACAAGTTCCTCCAGACTTGTGATTGATAGATTTTTTTCCCCCCCCCTCTTCATTTTTCCATGGCTGAACTAATAAAATTAAAATCTTGAGACCTCCTTTGTCACCTGAAACTTCTCTTTGTACTTCAGAGATGAAGTGGTTTTGTTTTAGTCAAGAGTTGATAAATGCAAGTAATATTAGATGTGCAGCATATGAGCTTTTTATATTAAAATCATTTTATTACATTTTACAGATTATAATAATGAAGATGAATTTGGAAGAAAGTTGCGGTTCCTCTTGCAGCAGCTTCCGCCTGTTAATTACAGTTTGTTAAAGTTTCTGTGTAGATTTTTAGCCAATGTAGCATCGCATCATGAAGAAATTTGGTCTGCAAGTTCGTTGGCTGCAGTCTTTGGCCCAGATGTCTTCCAGTAAGTTAGCTATACCAGTATGTGTACTTGTATGTGACTGACTGCATAATTATGTTCTAGCTGTATTTGTCAAAAGATGGCTTCTATATGGTGTAAGCATGCTGTTTAACACAGTATAAAACATAACTTTGGAGGGGAGTTATTTATATATTAATACTTCATTTGTATTGTGGGGGAATACAATTTGTTACTTATTGTTACTTATTTATAAAGTGTTTTAATTAGCCTAGTGTTGGTTCCTTTACTACTGGGGTGTAAACTATCCAAATCAAAGTTTTATAAGGCCCTTCTCCCTATGTAGTAATCCAAATGCAGTTGGTTGCAGTCATTCTTGTTTTGCATTTTGAATAGAAATACATGTGAAAAAAAAATGGCAAACTGTTATCTTTGATAATAAAAATATTCACAGGGTAATTGGGTGAATTCAAACTTTTAAAACTAAGATGGTATTGGAATCTTTTATTAGCATTTACACAGATGTGGAGGATCTGAAAGAACAAGAAATAGTTAGCAGAATAATGGCGGGACTTCTGGAGAACTACTATGAATTCTTTGAGAATGAGGAGGAAGAATTTTCATCTACTAATGATTTAAGTTCAATAACTGAGCAGGTGAGAGTGTTTTTGTTTCCTAGTCTGCTCCTGAAGGGAAAACTGGAATTATAACACAATTGGAACTAACATCACAATAAAATATAGCCCGTGGGTTGTGGACATGTGCATTATCTCCTATAACGACACCGTTCCAAGTATTACTTATCTCTTTTAATAATAGATCCAAATCCAGGCTAAAGCAGACACCAACTACTATTCTGGTAGAACTGTTTTTAACAAGATTTTTTCCTAAAGTAATATTGACCAAAATGGATCGTTTCACTCATCCATCCTATTACTTGTTTCTTTAATTCACTCCATTAATGCTCACGCTTATTCGGCTTTCCTGAACAGAGCATACCCTGGAAAGAACATGCACTGGCATTTGTCGGGTCTATAGGGCAGCCGATTGAACGTCTGCACGTGAACTTGAGAAACAGCCCAAAATAGTCATGTAGACATGATCCATTCATTATATGTACTGTAGAAATGGAAAACTCTTTATGAGTTGTGGACATGTGCACATGGTAATTTCTTTTCAGTGTGCAGAAGGTAGGAGCGATTTATTAAAAAAAAAAAAAAAAAAATGAAAAGAAAAAAGAAATGGTTAGAGTCAGTATAGTTCCAAGTAAAACTTAATCTCTTAAAAAGTATCCACCCATCATGATTTCCTACCAAGTTATAATTTGTCAGAAACTTACTTTAAACCTTGTTTCTTACTGAAACATTTTTATTTACTATGTGCATGTGGATATATTGAGTAGGCTTTTTGAGAGTCGATTACTGAAGCATTTGTTAGTTTTTGGCAAAAATAACTTAAAATCAGTCATAGTAATAGCATCCACTGTCATTAGTTTGATTTGATTGAACAATTTTTTTTGTTGTTTCAACTAACTTTTTGTCAGTTGTACCTCTGCGTATTAAGTTGAAAAGCGTTAATTTAGTATTTTGGGGAAAGTATTGTCAGGCCCCTTTTAAAAGCAAGATTGCTGTACCAGTCAAACAGAAGCAGATTTTTTTCCTTAAAGTGCTCTCGGCCAATTCACAATTTAGAGAATCAACTTACTAGGATAATATGCTTCAGTCTTGAAAATGAAGCAAATCACGCACATGCTTTTGCTTAATTGGCACACTTTAACATTCTCACCTTGTACAGTTTTTCACATGGCAGAAACCTGTAACTTCTATGCTGTTGCAGGTGTAGAAAAAATTTGCTCAGGACATGAAAATCATAAAATTTATAGACTTCTGTTTGCCTTCCAACAAAGGATTTCAAAGTGTTTTTTCAGGCATGAATGAATGAGCCTTGCAACACCTTGTGAAATGGATGAATGTTATCCCATTTCTATTTCGCAAGTGTGGAAACTTGCAAATGCAGTGTTGCAGCAGATTTGACAGGTTCAGGAAATAGATGCTAAGTCCTGACTCTAAACGCTTTGATTTACTACTTTATAGGGCTTCCTTTTAATTTGTATTCTGAAAGCATTTTTAGTAGTTTATTTAAATTTCTTTACTACAATTTCATTTTTGAAGGTGTGGATCCTGTGAGGCCACCTGTTTACAACTAAAGCATATATATATTTTTTTTTTAATGGAAATATTCTTTGTTTTGCGCTCAAACCTATTTGTTCTGAACTTGTTACAACACACATTTTCCAGCTCAGATTTTTTTTGTAGTGCTCCAAACATTTAATATTTTTATAGATAAATGATCTTTTGGAGGAAGAGGAAGAAGATGATAAGCTTGAGCAGTCTGAAGAACTTCCAGAAGACAGCATGGAGAAACCTGATGAAGGGCCAGATATGGTACATCTAGGCACAGTGGAGGGCTTCTCAGAATCCAGCAGTGTTACAGCATCAACAAGGTAAGTATGTCCCAAAGAAGGGACTAAGCTTTACATTTTTATTATCACCACTTCAGTAGTAAATGTGCTGTTGAGTAGTATTTGTGAAACTTCACACTCTTCAGGTTTGTTGTACTTCATTTTATAGACAACTCAATTAAATGAGACTTCCAGCTTGTTAGGTGGTAAAACCTGATGAAATTATTGTTCACAAATTTTCTCAGGAATGATTTTGTGGAATGCAAATTTAACCTTATGATCCTTCCTTTTTTTCTTCTGGATTCATTTTAATGAAAATGTAAACTTGTTTTTGAGAGTGAGTGCTTGGGAAACAATTGAGAATCTTTAGAGACTGGTAGTGCCAAAGTCATTTTGCCTCTTCCTTTTATATGCAAAATTCATGAAAAACAGTGTGTTATACATTAAATTATTTGAATGCCAAAGTTATTTGCCTACTGAGCAAGAAATCCAAGGGTAAACATTTTGATCGTGTATGATTGTGGGCAGAAATCATCAAGAAGATTTCATTTTGAAGTTTCTAAGGGTTTGTATAAACAGCTGAAATAGATATAAAAATGATGGAAAAAACCTTCAGTTTTTCTTAATTGGCACATGATGTCTTTGTTCCCTTCTAGAAACAATTTTTCCCCCTTTTTTCTGACAGAGGGGACATGCCTATGCAGATATTTGGAAGTAATAGTTATGTTAGTTTAATGTGGGCTTTTCACCACTTTGCTGAGCTGTTAGTAACTCAGCAGGCAAGGCTCAAGGCATACTACACGTTACCAATTAAATATCTGACATGGTACGAATACAGCCAGGGAGCTGTGAGCAGGGAGATGGGGACTTTGGGCCAGGGAGGAGAACCTGTTGGTGAGGTGGTTGAGCGTGTCCGAACGCTGAGATTTGAATGATGAGCTGCAGGAAAAAGGAAGGGTCAGCTGTGGTAGTGGGCTGGGATGAAGAAGGAAGACTAGTTAAAGACTGTATTATATTGCAGGTGTTAAAGGTTGCACAGCAACTTAAATGTTCTGGCTCTGGCTTTTCCTAATTTAATTTTTGACTGCTTATTTGCAACCTTTAATGGTCTGTTTGATGTAGATGTTCAGATTCAGTTAGGAGTATACACATTTCTCCTATGTTGTAAATGCAGATATTGCATAATGTAAGCTTTTACATACTAAAACTTGGAGGAAGAAAAGTATGACACAATTTTGTTCAGGGGAAATCTTTTTGAACTCCACATCTATTCAATTTGTTGTCTTGAAGAGGTGATTTTTGCAGATTAAAGAACAGCCCTTAGAGTTAGGGGATCTGAGCTGTACTCAGTCTTCAGAGAATTTCTTTATCTCCTTTCTTTTTCTTTCATATGGCATCAGATATCAACTTCCAAATCTATAAGCCACTGTCTGGTATTCTTGCTCAATGGACGGATGCCATGAGCCCTGTCTGGGTGTTTGTAAAGATTGCAGTTTGCAATTAAGTGCTCTGCTGCTTGTTGGACACTGCATTCACACAGGAAGCTGTCCAAGATGTTCATCTGACGAGGTGTTGTTTTGAAGTGTCCATATTCAGATCTCCCTTTCAGCTTCACCCATGCTTCTCTGTCACAGTTGTGCCCAATAGGTGTCTCGTTTGGTATTGGTATAAAACACTGTAGGAACAGGTCTTACCTTTCCCAGCAGTCATCTCACTCTGCTGCCCATACATTTGGTTCAGCATCCCCAATCTCTTCCAGGAGCTTGCAGGCTTCAGGCATTTATACACATACCTTTTTGCCCTGCAACATGCCAGAGGTCCACTACTTCGGAGCAGACGTGATTAATCGAGTCTGCTTTGCATGCGAGCTGATGTGAACTGCTCTGCAACGCATGCAGTTGTATAAGTGGTGAAATGTGCGTCAGCGCACAGAAAATGGCGGTGGTGCACTTTTGAACTAAAATGCTTTCTATGCGTATTAGTTCAAAAGCGTGCCACTGCCATTTTCTCAGTGCTGATGTGTGTTTCACTACTTATAAAACTGCAAGCAATGCAGTGCCAGCAGCTTTTCAAAGCATCTGGCGCTGTGGCGCTTGCATGTGTAAAAGTAACCCGGTTTATGACTTCTAAATCTCTTAAGCCTTCATCTTTTGGGGTCTTCAGTTAAGTTCTCTCTTGCCTCTACTGCCAGTAATGATGTTAGGGTCTATCTTATATCAGTAAGTCTAATGCCTGAGAGTACAGGGAGTACATCTCTGTGTGAGCTGTGCAGCCTGTTATGAGTCTCAGTGCACTGTTAAGTAGTGTTGAGCTTTTTAATGCAACAACTTCTGGACCCTACAAGAGCATAATACTCTGCTGGGGTGTATACTATTGCAAGTGCAGTGGTTCTGAGCCCTTTGAAGCTGGCACCCCATGTGGTACTGGCTAAACATATTAAGGCAGGTACCTGTCCAGAGACTTTACTGCTGGCCTTCTGAATGTGTTGTTTATAGGTGAGGGAACAGTCTAATGCAACTCCTAGGTAGGTCGGGGTATTCTCACAGGGAAAGATGTGGTTGCTGAATATCAGAGTAGGCATGCTTTTGACTGGACTATTGTCCAGGGGGAAGAGCGATGATACTGATTCGTTGATACTCAGCTTTAAGCTCCACTTGTGGAGATAGTCAGTGATGAGTTTCCATGTCAGTGCTCAGTATCTTTTTTCAAGTGTCATGTCAGTTCCTTGGGCTACTATGGCAACATCAGTGTACATGTATTTAAGGGTGCACCGATAGAGATTTTCTTGGCTGATACTGATAGCCGATTATTCACCAGGCATATTGGTTGAAACTGATCCGATAACCAGTTTACAGGAGCACAGCTGGGCAGTGTGGAGAGCAGTGCCCTACAGGTAAGTCTGTGGAGGGGAAGGGGCGTGAGGAAGGGAAGAAGTGTGGGGCTGGGGGTGTTGCCTAGCCAGGGTGGTGAATGGGACCCCAGGGCTGGGGTGGGGTGGGGAGCAGGATAGAGCTGCAGGTGGCTCATGCAGGGGCTCAGCGTCACTGTGCTTAAAAATGGCAGCGGGGGCACTTGAATTAAGGCTCGTCAAATCAGCTTTAGTTCAAGTGGTGCCACTTCCATTTTTAAGCGTGGGGGACGCTTCTAGGAGTGGAGCCAAGTGGGGTGAGGGTGGAGGTGGGTTGGCCACCGTGGGCTTGGAGCTCTCCACCCTGCTGCCTTTGCCCCATGAGCCGCATTGTGTCCCCTGCCTGCTTGGCGGCAGGAGGCAGAACTCACTGCCTCTACTGCCGCTGGATGGGCAAAGGACATGCGGCCAGCACGTGGTTCCTGGGGCAAAGGCAGCAGGGCAGAGAGCACCAAGCCCACAGTGGGCAGGCCTGCCTCCACCCTGCACACACATCCCTGCCCAGTCCCCAGGGTCCCATTCACCACCCTGGCTTCACGCACACAGAAAAGATGGTTTTAGAAATTTATCTCCTTTGGCAAGTCAGATATTCTTCTTGTAGTATAGTTCATTCAAGAGCGAATTCACTTTCCTGCT